ATCAGGGCTTTTTTGTTGGCAGCAATATTTGTATTTCCAATTGAATGGTTTGACGTTTGATGCTGTTTTTGCTGTTGAAGGAAGTGGTAGTACTGTTTGAAAAAGGCATGGATCGAGAGGCCGAGCGAATAATACCAGTAATGGAGAATCAAGGTTTACTTGCATTTGAGCTTTTCGATGTTGCTGTTGCACGTGTCCGAAAATGGTTCGATCTAAGCGAAGTGGATTTGATGTCCCGTGGCTTGAGGCTTTCACTGATTGATAATAGGTTTCTCATTTCTGAAATGCTTTTTTTTTAAATTTTTGCATTTTCTTTCTGCATTTATTTTCTGGTTTGTTTTCCCTAAATTCGTAATATCCCACATGACCGGTGAGTACTGCAGTAGTGTACGTTAAGCAGAGGGCATATTTCTGTCCCAGAAAAGTCAGTTCGTCAAGTATTTTTTAGTGATTTGCTGAAGGCGCAGCTGGAGCTGCAGTGAGTCGAATCATTTCCACCCTGCCTTATTCGTATAGCCCCTTTCTCAATCAAACATTCGCATTGAATCGGAGGAGCAAAAAACTTGCTCTGCTTGTGAAAGTGAGGAGAGAGAGAGCGATGCGTCAAAACGTACGAGCTTCCGAATATAAGATAGGCTTCCGAGCGGGCATTTACAGTTCATCTTGCTATTTTTGCTAAGTTTGCGCAATTATTTCGTTCTAGGTTGATGCACTGTTTGCGTAATTCCACGAAGGAAGTGGTCACTGCTCCTCCGGATGATATCCTGAAACTGATGCGGCAAGTGAGAATGTCACTGGGAACTACTCTGCAGCCTGATGACCGCTCATTTCAAACAGACCAGCTTGCTGTCAAATTTGAGGGGCTCATAGCTGCACTCAGATAGGTCGTCGTTCTTCGTCGTCGCTGTGGTGGCGCATATTCGCAGTGCAGCACTTGCATCATATCAATTCGGCAAAATGACATTTGTCTTCGTTCATGCAGTTGCTTTATTGTTTTCGAACTCCTGTGAAACTGTGTGGTATTAAAGGTTGATGAGAAAATATCAAGAGAAGAAAACAAAGAAAACGAGGGAAAGGGTAGTAAAATGGAAAAGGTATCTGAGGAAATATTTGTAATAGCTAAGAAATGTTTCGGTCCATTAACTCGTGTACATTTCATATCGTTACCATAATTGAACCTCGTCATTAAACACTTCCCAACGGAATGATCACTTTGGGTGTTTTAGTTTCAATTTCCCAATAATATTTTGAGAGACGTTGAGCGCAGCACCTCAAGCGCATTTCAGCGGCGGCTAACT